GTCTAGGATATATATGTGTTTCTGCCTGGAAAAAAAAACTTGGAGACATTCCAACTGTTGATTGCCGAATAGCTTCATCCTAGGTGGGGGGGAGGCATTCTAGGTTCTGAAATGCTGATAAAATCCAATTTTCCAGTTTTGCCGTTTAAAAAAACATATAAACATCTTTTCCAATCAGTGACAGTTACAGGCATTCCAGCTAGCGGCCCATCTAGGAGATAAAACGAAGGTATTTATCAATGATGGGGATCCTTTACTAAAGCCACATTCTAACTGTCTGTTCAACACCATTAGTGGCTGGGTGTGTCCTCTTTTCCCAGAAGCCTATCTACCCCAGGTATGTATCCAAAATCACAATTTTTGTACGGGAAACTCACTTTTGTCAAGGTTATCGAATGGGGAAAGCGAGTAAAAGTACCCAGACCTGCAAAGTGCACAAAAAATAATGTGATATTCTCAAACAGGTACATTCATATACCCAGAACCTCCAAATACCCTGAAAAATTGCTAAAACTATGAAAATTATGTGGTAAACTACCTTTTTTATGGTGACATGGAGGGTCTAGGATATATGTGTTTCTGCCTGGAAAAAACATATGCCCTTGGAGGCATTCTAACTGTTGATTGCCGAATAGCTTCATCCTAGGTGGGGGGACGCATTCTAAGTTCCGAAATGCTGGTAAAATGCAATTTTCCAGTTTTGCACGTGTGGACTGATTTTTCCAAATGCGCATTCTAAGTTTCAGTCCGTCAGTATAGATAAAAGCAGGTTGCAACTTGCTGGGAACCTTCCCAACAACCCTTGGACACAGCCTTTCTCAGCCTTCCCCAATCTTCTCTGCATCCTTCTGATTCACCAAGTCAATCCCAGAGCCTGTCCTGTCCTAGATCAAGCCTCTGACCTTCTTGCTCTGAACTTGTCTCTGACTCCTTGCCGGAAGACTCCTGGAACCTTGAACCAATTACACTGTTGAAACCCGTCCGAAGCCACACGAACCCCGTAGCGCATCTCCAGACCTTTGGAAGCCTCTCTCACGCTTATTTGTTACCCTAACGCCTCAGGACCCCTCCCAAAGAGTCTTTCTACATGCAAAATGTTTCCCGGAGCTTCCCGAAGCATCTCGGAGCCTCACCTGCTAACACAGTGCGTGCGCCCGTCTTTGCAACTCAAACGCTCAAACAAATAGCTACGTTAAAATGATCCCCAGGAATTCCCTAAACATATGGAACCTTTCGCATCTTTCATCAAGTCTCTGGGACAGGGAGAACGTGTCGCAATCTGTACAAACTCAAACCATCTAAAATCTAGAGTCAGAACACATATTTGATCCCAGCAAACCGCATCCTCATTCCCATCCAATACAAAAGGGAAACAGATTCGGAACCGGTGGGTATGACTCTGTAAGACACTGAGATAACAAAACACATGCGTCTGAGGCACGAATCGCAAGCGTGGGGACTCCGGCAGAGCACAGCGCAGAAGGCGTTGCCGATGATGCAGCAAAAGTTCGTCGTCCTCGTCGAATGTGTGAGGTTATGGGTAATTAATATTTCGCCCAAAAATGCAACAACCATCAAAACTCCAAGCAGCATCAAATACCTTTTACTGAAATGTTCAGTGTCCATTTTTCATAATTCTTCGGTATACAAATGTCGCAATTGTATGTACATGTTCATTGATAGCTCCCTGCAAGATTTGACAACACTATGTTCATACATCATGATATACGTGGGTTCGTCTTGCAGTACTTCCTTCGCTTGATGGAGTGGCTCAGCCATTGCCAGGGTCAAGTCTGGCAGTGGCGCCACACGGGTCATGCAGTTTGCGAACTACGAGTACAAGGCGGCTGCACAAAATCAACAAGATACTTGTGTGAATTAGCAACGGAATCGTGCAGTCCACGCAGCTTTTTCACTGACCGCGTGCGCCGTACAGCTCAAGGGCCCTATTGGCCGAAACGGCAACAGACGTCTAGTGTGACAACCTGGCCTGTACATGGAATGTCAAATACCTCAAATTGACAGTCAACCTGTTCTACAGGTGTCACATTGTATTCTTGACAGGCACGTCTGCATAGGGCATTGCAGAGAAAGTAGCGCAGCGGCGTTTCTACTGCTTCTGTACTTTGTACATGCAATCTGCTAGCACGCGGATCCAAAAATCCGGCTTCATACTTGTCGTGAGACGGTCACTGATCATAGCGTGGGTAGGTATCCAAGATAGCTTGTCTCCCCCATGTGGGTAGACATCCCATGTCTTCTGATCATCGTTCCAATAGGATTCGTGTATGCTCTGCAACTCAATGCACAATCTCTTGTCGCTCACTTTCGCGAGGATTTCGGAAGCTAGATGATCCGAAAGAGAACGGCAGTCTGTGAATGCTGAGTGCGGCACACAGCTCCTGGCATCAACTTCCCACGTCTTCAAAGGTCTGATCTGACCCTTGATTTCAGCCAAGACACCTCTGAGCTTGTCTCCTGCCTCGAGACCATGCTGCAG